ATGTTGTAAATTTCCAAAATAAGTTGACTGACTGGCCAACTCGCTGGCTGGCTGGCTGGCTCTTGGCCTATCTAACTGTCTAGTTAGTGCTTATAGCTGCAGCAACAACAGTGCGGTGCGTTAAACTTAAATGTTTACAACATTTTTATTAAAAAAGGCATACATACATACATAGTTATATGAGACGTGTTAGCACGTAGATGAAGATAGAGATGTGAACTAATAGCATGCGCATATGTAGTTATTAAAAAATGTTTTAAATTACTTTCACGAGTTATTAAAAATTAAATTACTAACACTTGCACAGTAGCACAGGTGCAGCGAAAATTGTTTAATTGGGATGTTGATGCGCATGCGCACAGTTTTACAATTCTCAAACGCATGCGTAAGCAGAAATACTGATTTTCTAATTAATTAGTTTTGCTAAATCTGTAGTCAATATGGATGTTTTTTTATGTTAACAGTTCTCTTCTAAGCATCTTCTTTCTTATATCTATATATAGCATTATTTCCATTTTCAATACAAAATATATTCTTTTGATCAAAAAATTGCCAATAAGTTGTACTCAGAATGAAGACTTAAACCTGGTTTCAGAACGTCTATGAGCTGTATTATTAAGGCAAAACTAAACTCATTGCTTTTACAAGGGATTCGTTTTGAGGGCCGATGCCCTATTATCCAAGCGTTTGTTTCATAAAATTGAGCTGTAATTGAAGTTCCAATAGGCATGCCTTCAAATTTTTTTTTATTATGATTATACTCGATTTTGTATGTCTTCATTCCTGGGTAGAAGTAAAATACATTTTAGTGATTTTTATGAGCTTTGATTTACTGACATTGGGGTGGTACGTTAGGGTAGGGTAGGAAGTGAGATCTGGTGGGTAAGTACTACAACGGGGTATTTGAGGTCAAGGAACTTTGGAACAATAAAATTTTCTCCACGAGATAAGAAGAAGATGCTTCGCATTTTAAGATTCGACTATAAATGCTTCCAAAAATATTAAGAAATAAAATAGATAATTTTAAAATGCAAAACCCATTTTCCCAATACAAAAGTTCATTAAAATCGTTGGAGCCCTTTCCGAGAAACCTATGTATATATAAGTATATATATAAATTTATATACAAGAGTTGCTCGTTCACAGTAACAAGATTACATAGTAGATTTCTCGCTAAACCTATATATTTTAATGCATGCGTTTGATTGCGGCTGAGAGTTTGACATCGTTCGAAACTCATTGAGAATTTTTGTTTATTTTGGAAGGACACCTATTTATTTTCATAACTTCGTTACAGATAATCGATATTATTTGTTTCTTGTGGTTTAACGCTTTGCAGAATTCCATACGAAAAACAAACAAGTTTGCTTCTTAAGTCTTTTGTTAGGAGCAGAGGTGCGTTATTGTCGGTACTAAAATCACAAGCTTGATTACCCAATTTTTTTCAGCGCATTTATTTTTTGGCGATCACATTTCACCCATTTTAAACATAAATATTTGTTTCCGTATAAAAAATTAATGAAATGGGTAAAAACAATATATGTAAGCTTCAACGCAAATCATTGCGCCGAACCCAATTCGCATATCACAAGGACAAATCAATGATTATCACAAACAAATGCAAAACGCTTGTAGATAACCATGCATCATGGTCATTGAAAGTCACAACTGACAAACAATGTAAATCACAAAATATTTTTAAACAAAAGCAAATACACATTGCAATGATTCTTCCAATTTCACTTTCACAGCAAACAAATGCCAATGCCGTGTAACCGCACAACATTCATTATTCGCTTGTGTTGGCACAAAACAAACCAACATTTTTTAAGTATGTATGTATTTCTAAAAAGCATTCAAAAGTTATGTTGCTGATGTATGCATGTATGTACATACCGCCAGCTTTGCTTTGCTAAAAAAAAATCCTAAACATCGATCAGCAATGACTGATATCTTTATAATGACGCGAAGATGGAAGAGGCAAGAAAGAGCATGACAAATAAAAAATCCAGATAAAAATTCAAAATTACAAAAAAAAAACTTCAAAATAGCAAGTTTATTGGCAGCATTCATTCGAAAGTAAATAGCAGTAATATAAAATGGTAATAGTCCTATGTATGCACATATTTATGTAAGAAAAACAAAATAACAATAACGATTAACTGACTTTGAGACCAAAATTGGATTGGCATCGATTGGTTGCGCCTCAGTGACTTTTTTGCTACTGCTTTTGTTGGCGTATGTATGTATATGTCTGTGTACATATGTAAGCATATACACATTAAAGTATGTAACTATGTTGTTGCAAAATGAAGTGGCAACAAGTGGCACGTTCGAAGAGGCAGTCACTGGCTTTTGATTGTTGTAAGACCGCATACAAGATAAATCAATGGTGTTGCACTATGCAGCGATATGTATCTAACCGCTATAATCGACCGCGTTAGTCGGGAGCAACGGCAAAGGCATCTATCTGAAGCTGTTTTGTTAGCTGAGTAAATGTTGCCGCTGCAGTTAATACGTATGTATGTTTGTATGTATGTATGTATGTACATATGAACTTTTGCTACAATAAATGAAGAGAAATTTTTGTATGCATAGGAAAATGCATATACTTTTAACTACATGTACATATACACACTAATATACATACGTATATATATATATATATATATATGCAAATATGTACTAAAGAATGTCAAATGCGCATAAAATTTAAACTTAAACAAAATACTGTATGAGGCAATGTGTGAATGCCAAAGAGGCCAGCTCAATTGACAAAGGGTAAATAAAAATTTAAATTAAGAAAGAAAAAACCGAAAAGCATCCACAAAAGTACACAAAAGGTGTTAAGAAAAGAAAAAAATAATACCCATATGTACATATGTATGTATATGCCTTCGGGCTATGATTTCGCCTATCCATCAGTTGGCGCATGCTACTCGTAAAAGAAGAAATTCCTCTTCTCTTTTTTACTTTAATTTCATTCCATAATTGTGCATATGTACACCACAAATTCACACAGCTTTTTGAAAGTCGCTGTGCACGCTTTTACGAAAACGAAAAGGCCCCTGAGGCGAATTTATTTTTTTTTGGTTTTGTTTGAAACAATTAGCAAATTTTTACGCACTTTAACGAAATTAGCTAGGAGTTGTATATGTAAATACATAAAACTATGCTTAAATAAAACGCTAGAATGATGATGGCAGACAGAAAGAAAGTGTGAAGTTAAGTTTATTAATGAAAACGAATGTTTCTATGCGCCTTCAAACCACTAATTTACTTTCGAAAAATATACATATGTATGTATGTATGCACCATGCATATTTTAATAAGTTACTTGAGTTTATGGTTATTGCATGCGTGATGGTGTTAGAAATCGAAAATTTAAAAAAAGGCAGGCGAATAAGATTTTGAGGCAAATAAAAGATTCGCAAGCACAAATTAGACTTTCCCGAGAGTCAAAAAATCTTTTTAAAAATGTACGCATCCTTCTTCTACACTCATAATTAATTCTTAAAAACTTAAAACTCATATAAACTGACGCACAAGAAATGTAAAAGAAATTCTTTTCTATCAAAATTTCTTAAATCAGCATGATTCAATAATACAAGGTTGTGTAATTTGTGACAGCTAAAATTTGACACTCCTTTATCTAGATTTGTATTTTGGAAGTAGGAGAAAGGGGAAGAAAACGGTAGTAGAAAGGTACTACAAAAAGTACGGAAAGTATACAATTAGAAGTAAAATGTGTATTAATTATTCTATGCGATTTTGCAATATATTTGGTGTTTTAATGAAACTACTAAACAATACATAAATATGTGCATTTTTGATTTAAGTTATTCATCATTTCCTGGAACCGACCGTTCAGCTATGCAAAAACGAAAACTGCAGATCAATAGAACTTTTTATGCTCATTTCAACCATGCCAAAATTATTTGGCGCAAGTAAAAAAATCAAGACGTTCTAGAAGGTTAAAGTTCAGTTTTTAAATTTTTTAAATATTAATATCTTACGAACTGTAGGTATAACCGATAAAAAAAAACTAATGACGCCACCATAAAGATAATTAATTTGTCTCATAATTTATAGCTTCTTGTATTTTTAAATCAAAACCACTAAAAAACGAACAAATGTTATTTTTTCATCAAATAATCTTTTTTGAAAAAAAAACTGCATAATTAATGGTAAAGAAATTTATATTATTTAGAAAGTACAAGTTATTATCTTTAATTCGATATTACATATTTTATCATGATGTACTTTGGGGTTTCCACAATTCAGTGATAATAAAAAATACAAATAAACAAAGCAAATAAACCTCTTATATCTTCGTTATTTTCTGCCTGCGCCAAATAAATTTGGTATCGTTATAATCAGCGTAAAAAGTTCTATCTATCGGTATTTTTGGTTATTTTATAGCTAAACGGTCACTATTCTACACTTGTTCTAGAAAATTACACAAACGAAGGTGATGCCAACGAATATTAAGTATGACGAATTTTTGGTTTTACTACTAATATCACTAGAAACTGTAGTGTAAGCAACATTCTGCACAAGTAAAGGAGCCGATTTTATGTGTGGGAGCGAGAAGACTGTTTTATTACAAAACCTTTCTATTATTGAATCATGTTAAATCAGTAAGCAGCTCTCAAGAAAAATATGGTCGTATTGTTTATTTATTTCTTCAAGACAATTTCAACAACAGTCAATTATTTTTCGAGCAGCAGAAATAATGGAAAATATTTCATGTGATTTTTCTTGAGAACTATAAACAGACAGCCCTGAACCTATTAAAAATTAATGAGAAAACAAAAAAAATTTATTTTCGTGTCGATAAAAATCGAAATAAATTTAATAATATTAATGCCTATCATTTTTTTATTGTTTTATTGTTATTCATCCAATTCATATAGGAAATGGACTTTTTTTTTGTTTTGTTAATTTATTTTATTTTCTGCTTTTATCGATTTCAACAACATGTTTTTTTATCATTTCAGGTCCAGTATTAGACGGGTGAGTTCTACCAGATCTTATTGCTCTGTGCAATAAAGACGCCACTGACAATATCGTTTGCATTTCTTTGTTGAACGACAAAACTAATACTACATCAATTAAATACCCTCTACAAAAATATTTCTGAGGTAATTTTCAAGCAAATTTTCTATAAATAGATCATTCTGTGCGTTTGTTGTAGAGTCATTCTTTAGAGCTGGGTCCTTTCATAAAGAGAAATTTTACTTAGGAGACCATAATTGGTTCAAATAATTTTTTTTTGGGGGAATCCGTATTTGGTAAAGTCGCTAGGACCGACTACAATAAATAGACAAATTGAATGTTCAATTGTTTAGGTTATACTGGGTTATAATTTGATACAGGCTATGACCGGACTCTACCTTGTGTGAAAGCATAATTCGAATAGCTTTCTGTTATAGCCTGGCCCTTGTGGCTTAATTTCAGTATCATATGTTTCGAAAAACAAGCTTTCTAACCCATTTTTTTTTTTGTTATTCATTAAATGTAATTTCTTAAATGTTAAATTTTGTGTAAACTCAAATCTATGTATTTTATTGGAGTAAAAATCGAAATAAGTAAAATAACGAAAAACGATGCTGAAGATGATACAACGCCGTAATACATACCTCCAACTGATAAGATCCTCAAGTTTTCAGGAAGGAGTTTTTTAAGATATGCATTTTTGAAGCTTAATTTTTATTTTTTGAAAACGTAAAATAAAGTTAAAAAAAAAATAGTTCAATAAGACTGATTAATTGTATATTAGTGTTAGGCGGTGTATTTCCTTTGTATACACAGATTTACTTTTGCAAAGTGAAAACAATAAGCACAAGATAACAGCAAAGAAAAAATAATTTTCTCTCCAACTCAAAGATCCGGATTGGCCGCATCACATCACAGCGGCGATGGAGAAAAAAAAAAACAAAATAACCAACAATAACTACGTACATACTGCCAAAGAATAAGTATATGAATGTGACTTGTGACTAGTTGTCTTCATATATTTCCTTGTCGCATTGCTACTGCTGCCAGCATAGGCGCACTGGCATTGCATTGGACAGGACAGTAATACTCTAATAATAAATCAGTTAAAGAAATTATTGAATCGCACTTGATACTGGTTCACCTAGTTTCGAACGTATGGCGCCTGCTGTGCATTGTGTACACTTTCTTGACCGATGCGCTTAACATTTTAGGGGGGAAAAAATTAAAAAAAAAATAAATAAAATAAATGTGACAGTCAGCGAAGCGAGCGGCATTATAATGCAGCAGTTGGTTGAGACTGGTACATACATACATATGTGTATTTGTAGGGGTAGATAAACACATAAAGAAATTAGCCATGCACACAAAAAAAAATAAAAAATTTTAATTACCTTAAATTATATTTTTGGATCAAACAATAAAACAAAAACTTTGTTACCTCTTTCGCACGTAAGGAGCTATGAATGTGCTTGGTGCTCTTGCCAATTAGCTCAAATCAACAGCAGAATAAATAGAGACACAGCGAAATGCCACACAGCGTAGAAAATTTTGTTTGCAACAACACGAAAAAAATCAGCCATAAATCGCCTACTCAACGCACGAAAACAAAGTCAACAGCCTTGCATATCTGTACTAACATACATACATACATACATACACGTTCATACATATAAACATACATACGTATTTGTAAATATATATTACTATATAAAAAATAAAATTTAGAAAATTGCTAGAGCAAACGATGTAAACAACAATAGCATTAGACGTTAAGCGCCTGCTGAGAAAGAAAACCCACCATAGAAAACCGAAAGACTTAAGAAAGCAACTTGTGCTGAGTAAATTATTTTGTTTTTGCTTTTTTATACCCGAGCGCACTTGTGCACAAGGGTATTATAACTTTGTTCACATAACGGTTGTTTGTAACAGGCAAAACGAATCGAAATAGATATAGACAAATGTATACATAAACGATCAGGATGAAAAGAGAAATCGATTAAGCGGTGACTGTCTGTCCGTCCGTCCGTCCGTCCGTCCGTCCGTCTGTCCGTCCGTCCGTCCGTCTGTCCGTCTGTGCACACGATAACTCGAGTAAAAATTAAGATATCTTAACGAAACTTGGTACGTGTACTTCTTTCGAGCGTAGGACGGATGGTATTGAAAATGGGCAAAATCGGACAATAACCACGCCTACCTCCCATATAACGGTAATTTTCAGAAATACGAAAACTGCGATATTTTAGTAACTACTGAAGATTATTAACTCAAAATTGATATTTACAATAATTTTTAGAGGAAAAATAAGAATGTTATACATTTTTGGAAAATGGGCGTAGCCACGCCCACTTATGGTTACATGTGTATATCTTGGTAACCGCTGCACCAATTTCTTCCAAACTTGGCACAGTTGTTGGCCTTGGTACAGGATACCAAATGGCCGAAAAGTTTTAAAATCGGACAATAACCACGCCCACATCTCATATAACGGTAATTTGGAGAAATACGAAATCTTCGATAAATCAGTAAATATTAAAGCCAATTTATTCAAAATTGATGCTTGCAACAACTCCTTACCAGGAAATACGTCTATAATAAAATTTTGAAAAATGGGCGTGGCACCGCCCACTTATGATCACATATATGTATCTCGGTAACCGTTCTACCAATTTGTACCAAACTCGGTATTTTTATTGTGCTTGTTACATAAAAGCAAAACGATGAAAATTATTGAAATCGGACTAAAATTATGGCTTTTCATATAACGGTAAATTTTAGAAATGCTTTAAACGTCAATATTTTGAAATTTAAGGATGCTAATTTACTCAAAATTGATACACCCCGGCTTACCGTGTAGCGGTAGCTTTCGGAAAGGTGAAAATCATATATTTAATATTTACGCCGGGTATTTAATGTTCGGCTCCGCCCGAACTTAGACTTTCTTACTTGTTTCTAAATGCATTGTTGCTGTTGTACATATATTTCAAGTAGTAGTTAACTTGTTAATGATTGCACATTTAGGTGAATATCTAGTGATTGCAAAGTTTGTTCGCCTAAATGCGGCGTCGGCCGGCTGTTGGATGTTAAATTCAACGCTGAGCAGTTTTCACATTGAAAATTGAGCGAAATTTAAACTGTGCGCCAATTTGCTTCATATCATTTCTAGCTACATAGGCGGCTGTAGCAATTCGAATCAATAAGTGAAAATAAAGTGTGTATATGTATGTATGTGTGTATTGTGTATAAGGAGTAGAGTTTATGCAAAATGTACAAGAGTGAAATTTCGGATGAATATGTGGGTGTAAGAAAAAAAAATCAAAACAAAATTAAAGAAATAAGGATAAAATTCTACTAAAAAATCTCTACAAAAGCATAAAACCCATACAAAATAAAAATAAAATTAAAAAATAAAATAAAACAAAGAATATTTATCTCACTTGAGCTTTAGGAATTTTTATTAAAAAAATGTTTTTGGCTCTTCCATAAAAGAAAAAAAAAACTTATTAACAGTTATTATAAAAAAACCAAAATAACAACTAAATTAAGTTAGTCAATTAAGTTAATTTAAATTAGACTGAATCAAATGAAAAAAACTAAGCATCAAATTATATATGATATAAAAAAAATAAAAGTAAATAATTATTGTCTCTTACATAAAATAAAATAAAACACAGAATAAATAGATTAAAATAAATAGTTAAATAAATAACATACATATGTATGTATATATAAAAATTTATATTATTTTTTACCATAAATATACATAACAATAAAATAAAATTTAAATGAATTAGCATTAAAATATCGAGCCCTAACCGCCAAAAAAATGTAAGTGACATTTTTTTTATTTATTTTTTGATGCAGAAATGTTCCTAGAGCATCTAGGTCCAAAAAATGTCGCTTACATACAGTGGTGGAAAAATAAATAGGGACATGATATTTTAACAATTTTTTCCTGCTTTTCTTTTGTTTATTTATTATTTATTAATATTTTTTTATAAAGGTATAGCGCACTATCTAACAAAACCATATAAAATGTCGTGTCTCTAATTACATTTCCACCACTGTATTTTTGAAGGTCAGGTCTCGATATGTAAAAATAAAAAAAATATTAAAAATGTCTTCAATATAACAAGTAATCTTTAAGCAAAATACAACATAAAAACATAAATTTAGGAGTACCGTTAATTTCTTCATGATCATATGATCTGATCGATTCACATGGTTCAAAGTTACGCGGTAACATATATAAAAAAAAAACACATATATATTTCAACGAATTGATAACCTCCTCCTTTTTTGAAGTCGGTTAAAAATAAATTTTTTTTCCAAAAATATAATAAATTACGAAATATGCAAAAAATGTATATATTAATATAAATTTAAATTAAAGAAAAACAAAAAGGCGGTAAAATAAAATAAAAAAAGCAAAATCAAGAAAAAAATAGGTAAAATAGAAAATAGATTACAACAAAAACTTAAGTAAATTAAAACAAAACTAAACTAACTTAATAAATATATCATAAAAACGTACAAAATTGCAAAAACAAATAAAATACATGGAGACATAACTAAATTGAATTACGAAATCAAGCATAAAGTTATATAAAAAATAAAATAAAAAGTTAATATAGGAAAACAAAATAAAATCAAATAAAAAGTAAAATAAAAAATTAAATTAAATAAAATATTTAACAAAAATATATTTAACAAAAAAATAACAAAATTTGATTATATAAAAAAATGAAGCAAAAAATATTAAAGAATTGCAAAAAACAAAAGCAGCAAAAAGTTAATTATAAAAACAAAAAATTATATTGTTTATTCGTATCTTTCTTTCTTTGTTAAAATAATTAATTGGCCTGTTTTAGTTTTCATACATTTTCTCAATTAAATTTAAAGTCAAAATCGTACGAGTTGGTTTCCGATGTTCTGGAAATCATGCGAATACATTTCAATGCATTTGCACATTCATCCTTCATGCTAATATATCCGGAGAGACTGGTTGAGTTGCGTAT